TGGACCTTATTGTTATGCAAAACAGAAGCTGTGTAGTATTGGTAGCAATACCTGTTCTCGAAGATGTCTGCTGCCACAACTATCGGGTACGGCCTTTCTTTTCAAAGCTCTGCATCGCACGCAGAAAGAAAGAATCCTATTCGTGGCGATCATGGTTGGTTGGTTTGGCAATTAGGTTGACCTTGTTGGAATTGCACGGCTTCTGCCGGACGAGGTGGTCTCTTGCAGCAGGGTTGCTAACTTGAAACACACATTTGCATGGAGTTTTCGAATTTTCCGTGTGTTGCGAACAGACCCCATGAAGGGGGTTTGAAGTTGACAATCGTCTACAGTATTGTCTGGTCTATCGGATGACTCTTCTTTAGGTGATGCCACAGAAGGAGGCGGAACAGTGGTAAACAAAGTGCGAACTTTGTGTAAAACAGGGATGAACGGACGCACTTTGATAGAACGCGGGTGGAAACACGCTTTGAAGAAAGGCGCTTCAAATTGGAACTTTTGAATTTCCAAGTGCAACGTGGTGGGTCTCAACGGAGAGTCTGTCGTTTGCACATTCAAGTCATGTGATTGATCTGAGGCGACTCAGATCAATATTAAGTCGGCAAGACTGGAATCAATTGCGTCGGAAGGCCCTCACATGTCCGTCATCATCAGCCAGGTACATTCCTTCATCTGACAGGGCATTTGGAGGGAAACATCACGCGTGACGTGCCGGACATAGCGAACCCGTGTATTCACGCACAGGAGATTGCGAAAAAGAAAATCGACTCGGCTACCATCCGGTCGGGTTCTGGTTAACCCTAGTGCTTACATAGCAACCAGGTGATGTGGAGATTCTCCAAAATACTGTATAGACTAAGGGTACAATTTCCCCAAACGTCTGTTGAGGATGATTCCCTTTCACATGAATCACTTTATTATACGTGTGTGTGATTACATACACATACATACATACATACAAGTACATCCATCCATCCATCCATCCATCCATACATCCATCCTGCCATACATACATAGTTTACGCTGCAACACGGACCAGTTGAGGACACCCCCGACGGATGCATTCGATGTGTAGGTTCCTCTGCTTGGGGACAACGCCCGGAAATTGTCCGGACAGCTCTATGCCGAGACATGTATGTAGGTCTGCGGGAAAACTGGTTTAAGATGAATGGGAGGAAGGTGGAGATCGTATAGAGTGGAAGGGCCGAGCGGCCGGGGGCGGGTCCTCACATCTTTCGTCTTTTGTGTGTTATCACCAGTGACCACTCACTCACGCATTGGCGTGCACCCTTGGCAAGACCGGCAACACACCCCGCCGTTGCTCCTACTCGTTCCAGTTTGTGCACTTGGATTTGATATTTGTACGCTCACAATGAGCATCACGTGTCTTACGTCCCGTGTTATAAAAAATAAGCTATTTTGACAAGGCTACATGTTTCTACGCGTTTGAGGTTTTCGCCGAATGTGTCTTCTGTTATTTACGCCTTTCTGAAGCCGAAGGCAAGAAAAAACATTGAGGAACATGGCAGTCAGTGGCGGAGTTGTTTTTCTACCATCAAAGGTAAGAGTGCGGTATATTTCGAAACAGGTTGGTATCTTCCCGTCAGACTGCACTACACTGGTATGCATGCTAGTGTACTCGTCGTGGCCTCGTTCATACGCGTAGGGTGTGGGCGGTACTCCAAGAACTACCGTAGTACACAAGAAAACCATTCAATTTTTGGGTTGGGTTGGGATGGCAGCTAGCTGTTCGTTGTACTTACTGCTGTAGACAAACTACAATACACGGCATGACGGGACTTTAACGCTACGTCCCGGCTAATAATCGCATGCGTAACGAACGTAATTTACAGTAAATAGCATACACCGATGAGTTTCCGCAAGCATCTCAGAACCGCCCGAAGGCATCCACAGCAGTACCGTAGATTGACTAAATACGTCTCATTGACTACGTCACCGCCCGTGTAATTTTGACAAAGCTCGCGGTGTGGAAGATTCGTCGGGACGACACCGTTTCGCGGTGAACTGAGTGTTGGAGATTTATGCGCGCACCCCGAAGGGTATTTCTCTTATTGCATCCCCACCACACCACTGTTACACGGACACGGACCCACCCTAAATTCGTTTGTTCACCCACCTATCCGTGTGTTGGGAATCGACCGTTGCTCGGCTGCTCGGGATGTGGACTGGTTCCCCTTCCATTTTTGACCAATCAAGTTCCTCCAAACCTCGTGGATGAGACAAGACAAGAGCAGACGACCGCTTGTTGTCCCTCAACCCCTTCTACCTTCCCGTCCACCCTCCTCGGCCAACTACAAATCTTAACATCCCTGAGACTTCAGGTAATCACGTAGGTGCTTCTAAACTTCGCCAGGCAGTGAGCGTGTGATACGTGTGTGTGGCGGTGAAGGCCGTGTCCGTGTGTCCAGCTTTTGATCGATGAGGAGAAAGCGAACGGCCCGCAGAAAAAAACGACCGCAACAGAATGGATGGATAGACCAGACCTTTTATAGCAGTGCAACGCGCAGAACGGTTAGGTATGATGGGCTTGATTTTCTGGCGCGGTGAATGCAAGCGTGTGCGCAATATCAACGGGAGTGGAGATTTTATTTGTCTGCACACACACACGGAGCTACTGCAACAAGATGTATCGTGCTCTCTGGGCGTTTTCTTCTCTTCTTGGTACAGACCAGACGGATCGCCCCAGCACCGCCGCGTTTAGATATCGGACGTAACCACGTCAGCGGTTGATAGCGTTGAGTGTGCTACAAGAACGGACGCCGTGCCGCAGGCCACTTGTAGGTTCGGTGCTAGGAACTTTTGACTGATTTGCGCAAGCCCTACCACGCTCGGTGTGCTGGTCGGCGCGAGTTGAAACCCATATCGAAATACCGGCTGGAAAACCCCGCGCGCGTTTCGTTTTCTCACCTGCCGGCAAGCATGGCGGCATCGGCAACAACACCGTAAAATTTGCGGTGGCTAAGTAGGAGCTAGTTTGGGCCAAGGAAGCAGAAGAATGCCTGGACGGGCTTTCACCCTGTGCCTGTTTCCGCACATCCATTTAGTCTACTATGTCGACAGCAGTGTTACTCAATTTAGACTTTTGATGAATTCGAGAGAAAGATGCGGAGTGTTTCCAAAGGAGAGATCGTTGAAGCGACTTCGTTCGCAACTTGTTCGTGGCATGGTGTAGCGTGGGATGTACACGACTTGCGTCTGGGCAGAATTGCTGTTGCTGCTGTGTGCTGCTGCAGCACATGCCTTACTTCGCAACCACCTTTGCGAGGTCCAAGTATCGCCCCCAAAATACGTCACGTTTGTTTACACCACAGAATGGGCCATATTCGCCGAACAGAGTGCGACAAGCGCGCCGTTAGCACTGTTGTGTGTCATGGTGTTGTCGTGCGGCCGTGCGTACACTCTTGTCAAATATGAAGAATTGTCTGTAGTCGTGCTGCTGTGCGTCTACATATACTGCAGTGCATTCCTATCTGTGCTGTTCTAACTCTGGAAAAAATTCCGACCAAGTCGTCCTTCCCGGCGAAGCACGAGGAGCGTGGACCAGCAGATGCTCAGTTGCCTCTTCTGCTCTCTGTCCATTGTCGTCCGGCCTGTTTACTTGCATGGACCAACGATCTTGTGACTCACCGCCTTGCACCAGCAGCATAGTCCGTGTGTTTCAGGTGCATGTAGACTACGGTGCTGCGTATGCTTGTGGTACCGCCATGTGGGAAGTCTAACGTGTGGTCCATGGGCCGCGCATGGGCTGCCATGAACAACCCATGGGTCGGTGGGAGGCGCATGGGACCGCCGTTCCATGGAACGCCCAGTGAGCCATGAGTTCAACCCATGGTCCAGTCTTCTGGTCAGATTCGTTGGACAGCCATGGGCTCGAACCCACCGTCCACGTGCAGCTCGCAACGACCATACTACTTTTGACCCACGACGAGGCCTTTATCCGCCGATCAACATTCGCCATTAGTCATCATGGGTCGTAATTGCGCCGCTCATGGGTCTCTCATGTGCACGAACCGTTTGTCGACCACCCATGGGCCGCGTTTAATGACCACCCATCCATGTGCCATTCGGCTACAGAACTCGCCAGACGTCTCAGGTTCACCAATTGTGGCATCATGGGACGACCACGGGTCGACCACGGGTCGCCCGTAAGCCGTCGTTGACAAGTCGTCTATAGTACACTACGTAGTTTCAAATTTCTTTTGTCCTTGCGTTTATGTGATATCCCTGGATGGTTCACGGGTTGCCATCGATGTTTGGCCGGCTCGTGGGCGGACGATGGGCTAAATCACGGTAGGCACGGCCTTCGTCGACTCACGGGCGGCCCATTGATTTTGGGTACCAATGGAACGACCGGCTAAAGGGCAATCCATCGCGCGTCCAACAAGACGGCCCGTCGGCGATCCATAATTCACCGACAGCCCACAGCGATCCATGGGAGGCAGGCTGCGGGGTGTCGATTACGTTGGCGAAACTTGCACCATGCACACAGTACGGAACAGAGATCTGGGCTGAGAAGTCTTTGCAAGTAGCCTGCTCAACTATTCCGAACTCTTCGCCAGCTTGTGAGCGTGTGGTGGTCGCATTGGCGAGAATAGCAGGAGGGCAAGGTCGAAGTTGCCAGTCTTTTGTGTAATTTCACGACTTGATTCTCATATGTAGGCTACAAGACTATTGGATGGTGGCTGGAGATTTCGTCCTTCTACACTCTTTCCCGAAATGTGTTTCCACGGAACATGTAAACCTACCTCTGTCAAGGGGAGGCACGAGGTTCACGGTGATATATTCTTGATTCAAGATCTTTCCAATTCAATATATTTCGCACCAAGAGTTGAACATGAAGTTGTCGGGACACATCGCTTTGCCATTCGGTGCATTCATTTAGGGTTCCTCTCAGGGAGGTTCATGCGCTCAATATCCCGCGCCACAACAAGCCTGCATGCTCATACACCACACCAACACATGTCCCCTTCAGACACAACATGGGCGGCAACGACACCTCCACGACCTCGAAGAAGACCCCGCAAGAGCCACTGGCACCGTCAGCATCGCGTGCGGCTGCTACTGACGACGCCAGTCACGAACTGCGCAACAGCTCGCCCAGCGGGTGTTCACGGAAGAAGCTGTTGATGTCGGCATCTTCAGTGGCAGGTACTATCCTCAAGGCCTCTGTTTTACCGTGGGGCAATGAATGCCTCAAGTGTCGTTTGTCGTATAGGCTGACTGATTGGGCAGCTACAGGATTTAACGATGACGACGCGGTTTGGTTTGATATTTCGCCTGGCGCGGATGAGCTTAGGCTGCTCTGCTCACGTCCGAACGACTGAATGCGATGCTGTTGCCGGTTGCTTCGCGAGTTGCTTGAGGCGTGACTAGAGTGAAATACTCTCTAGGAGTTGTCGGTGGCCCTTCAAATGACACGCTACTGCACGGTGGCAAAGTCTCCGATCTCTATCTATTCTCCAGATGGTAATATATCTGGCACCCGCAAAGGCCGCTTGCCGAGAGGGGTCGTGTAGGTCCGGTCGTCGCGGGTTTTGTTTAAATCATCTTTATTGGTCGTACTACAGTAATGTCCTGCACCCTTGCGGAAGTATCGGTGCTGTTGTCATTAGCGTGACATGTTCCGCAGCTTGCCCTCCTTTCCAGGTCACGTACTTTGTGGCCATACCGAGAGCCCTGCCTTGCCTGGTCGTAGTGACAGAAGAGACAGAAACAGCGGCACGCGCGGCAGCCGTGCACCCGCGCCCAGAAGTTGCGCAGGTCCAGATCTCGATAGAGGTTCAAGAGCAAACGCCGTCAACGGAGGACGCATTGAATTCACCCTTGTTCGCGCTTGCGAGATGTGGTATTATTATATAAATAGTTGAGTTGCTTCCGTGCGTGCTCTGACCTCCCGGCCATCGTAGGCGAAAACAACACAGGCCTGGTCCATGCATATTACGAGGTAAACACTGTCGCTTAGGGGGCATCCGCGGTATCGTTCAACTATTGAGCTGATCCGTTCAATAAAGGCCTATTACTGGCGTGGATCAGACGCCCACCATGATGCCTAACAAATACCCAAACCCCAAACATCCGCAATTAATCCTCTTGCACCCTGCTCCCCGTCGCTCTCCTGACGGGAAATGGTGTTGGTGATTACACCACCACACAGGTTCCGACCTCGACCCCAACCCCATGTCGTCAAGGCCTAAAACTGCCCCGGCAGACGAAACACGCGGCACATCCTCCTCGCTTTCGCCCGGCGCTTCCCCTACATCCTCCCTGTCGCCACCTCCGACATCCACGTCATCTCCGAAGACGCTGCCGGTCCCAAAGGCTCCTCGCTGCGAGGTACAGGCACACGTGTTTCGGTGACGCTGCTCTCTTCATTCACCTTCGCAACGTAGATGAAATGCAAGTGTTAACTTCATAAGTAGTTTGTGTGGTCCGTGGTTGACGCATCTAGGAAAAGGCCCGTATATTTTGAGGAGTGTGCTGAGCAAGTGGGTAGCCCTACATCGTGCACACCGAAGTATCATGTGGCAAGACCGGCAACTTCATGGTCGAGGAAGATTGTTTTGCATCTTCGAGAAGTTCAAGGTTGACACGGTGTTCCATTCGGAATCGTTGTAATTTGTGTTAAGTCCGTTTCAAGTAGCAAATGAGACCGAAACAGTAGCTTCATGTCCTCAGGTGATACCTCCCTGTACGAACATGTGCTCAAAGTGAAAGCTAACTCGCAAGAGAAACATTTTGATCAGATATTACCGCTCTTTTCGCATTCTGCTCATGCATGCGCTCATCCCGAACAGTATCCGGGGTGCCCGAAGTCTGCAAAGTATGGCCTCAGGGAAGCCCCGCCCAGCAAGTGCCAGGCTCACAAGAGGGCCGGTCAATACACCACGAACCGCCACGGAGAGCTGCTGATGGCAACCCGTGACGGCGACGGTAAGTTACAACCGTGAACCCGCTGTTGCTGGTGCTGCTGATGCTGCAATTGTTCCGATCGGCGTCGATGTTTTCTCAGTCAAGCCCTATCCCGAAACGAAGTAATCGGGTGGGGGGGCCTTTGCGGAATTGTGGGTACGCCTTCAGAGTACCGGGACACGCCTTCTCTTTCTTTGCCTTACCGAATTGCTTTCCACCGTAAGCTATAGTTTATTTCCGATGCTTGGTCAACGTCATAGCATCGATCGCGCATCCCCAACCCGGTCGTTTACCCGAACAACGTTCTACTCCAGCCTTTCGTAGGGTGAGTAGTACCGGTTGATCCCTGAGTTCCACACCGTACTCATCGTTGAAGAGAAGCCCCCCGGCGCTTGTGCCGTCTCATACTTCGCATCTTTTCGTGTTTCGCGTCAATCTCAAACGGCGGCCATGCCTTTCCCGCTGTGCTACCGTAGCGTTCCGGACACCGGCGGTGGCGGTGCCAGTGCCAGCTGTGACGGTGCCCCCCTCCCCAGCCAGCAGTGAAATTGCAGGTGAAAAATGAGCGCGGTGTCTGTCTATTATTGTGTCGCCCCTGTGTTTCAGCCTTGGCCCCTTGGGCAGGGCGGAAATATGCGTTGAACAGAGCATGGCGCGTGTCTTCCACTTCAATGTATGCCCTTGCTTCCGTAGTGGTGGTGGTGTTGCCGTGCCGGCGGCGTTTGTTGAATTTTTTACCGGTGATCCACTCGCGCCCTGAACCATTGCCATCCGTTTCATGGAAACTGTTGTGTGGGCTCCAAACAAAAGTGTAGGGATAGCAAACCTGCTCACGTATTTCCAGCCTGGCAGTTCCATCCCACCCGGCGGGTACCCGACCAGCGTTAACCAAGAGAGATTAAGATACATCGCCTAGTGGATGTATCGCGAAGTATGTTTGCCACATGTTTTCCGACTTCTTTCTGTTCTCGAGCAGGCAAAGCGGGTAGTAGCCACTCGGTCGGTTCGTCAATAACGTCCTTTCCAACCCCATCTGCCCTTTAATCCCCGCTCTTTCGTTTGCCGCCGTCTATTTCCACGATCTTCGTTCTCTCTTCGGCTGTTTGACAGGGACGGAAGCGGCATCCGCCCGACCGCGGCGGCGCTCTACAGGAAGCAGCGGCTCCTCGGTACCCTCTCACCGCAAGCCCAAAGAGAACCTTTCTTCTTCAGTGCACACGTTGAAACGTAAGATACTTGGGGGTGTACCAGCAAGTAGCTTTGACCGGCTATTGTTTCATGCGCATGTGTGATACAAGCTATTGGATGTTTGTGAATGCATTCGGCAATTACACACGAGTTAGCCTGGCGATCTAAACCACTCACATATATCCCATGGCATTGAGCATGCGAAGATACAGCGTTTGTATGCAACGTAGTCACTCGAATTATTGGCCCACATGGCCGACACTAGTCCGACTTTGAGTAGGAAACACCAACTTGCACCCGTCGACGCACTGCACTCCGATGCGGCAACTCTGCGCTATGCGTGTTCCCAACGCCGGGTTTTGCTCTGCAACTCCAATCGTGCTACAGGCAAGAACCGACCGGGGACATCATCAAGCAGACATGAAGAAAGCCCGGCACCGAAAAACCGCTCCTGCCTCTTTCCAGGGTGAGACAGCGCATAAATCAAACCCAAGCTTTTGGAGAACAGAGTCGCACTGAATCCTGATCATGCCCGTGCTTGAGAGCTGCGATTGAGGTCGAGGTGTATTTTTTTCTGTCTGTCAAATCGTGGAGGTCGTAGATCGTTTTCACCACAGCAGCTGCGGTATAATGAATACAACGGCGACAGACCTCGACTTCTGTTCCAACTTTTTGACGAAACAAAAGCGATTGGCCCTCATTCGCGGGGATATAATATTGACTGAGGTGTTTCGAGTGCTGTCGAGATATCATGTTGTGCTCGTCCGCAACGTTTCACCTCTTCCCCCTTCAACCTGGTGGCAATCGTTTAATGTCTCAGGTGTGGCGCTCGCCCTACCCACGGCCTGCCGGGGGCGGCACGCGCCGTGTACTGCTTCTCCCACAAGAAGGGCTCGATGGTCGACCTTTTCAGCGAAGCGCTAGCAGTGAACAACCACGAAGAGAAAAGTGTCACAAGCGCGGCACCTACCGAGGGCAAGAAGAAGAAGCAGACGCAGGCGAAGAAGGAGCGGGAAATGACCGGCATGACCGCCGACCAAAGGGGAGCAAAACAGGCTCGCCGCGAATCAAGCATCATGGAGGGCAACAAAGGCACCACAAGCAAGGATGACGGCGGCCACCGAGGTGCCAAGAAGATTCGTGACAACGAAACGAAAGTGAACAGAGGCATGGGTGCCTCGGGGGGGAGCGTTGGCGCCATTGCCACCGCTGCTGCCGCAGGTACGTCTGAGATGAGCGTGAAATCACCAGCAGCAAAACCACTGGTGAAATCGACCAGCGAAGCAAAAGAACCCGCCGACACAACGGCACCGCCTCCTCAACCGACCAGCCGGCCATCGGATGGAATGGCTCCCTCTGTTGAGATGCTCATTCTGAGGCAGGCGAGGGAGGCGGCCAAAACGGAGGCGGAGGCCAGCGGTAGCGGTCGAAGGCCGCGCGCTCCCTCACGCCGCGCTCTGGAAGCCTCCGGTCGACTGAGGGGCGACGGGGCTCAGTGGATGACCCGGGAGAAAAAGGCCGAGCAAGCCAGGGTCAACTCCGAGCTCCGGAAGAAGAGGAAGGAATCCAGGGAGGCGGGGCTCAAGGTTGGGGTTGTGCTTGAGGCGTTCGTGTGATCGCCGGCACCGACCGGAGCAACACTGGCCGGTGTAGAGAGTCGGGGGTGGGACGGTGGTGGCGGTGGAAGAGGAGGGGTTGTGGGCACAGAGCCGACATTGCCGTAGCACCCCCTCGGCAGCAGCGGCAGTCGTAGACGTTGCGAGGATTTCTTGCTCGTGCGGCGTGAGATAGGCCGGGAACCCAGCCAGACCGATTCTCAGCGGCAGTACTTGACGGAGGGATATGGTCGTGGTTGGTGTCGCTCACGTGAGGGTAAATGCCTTGTCGGGTGGGGAGCTCAAGGAGATATTGTACGGCTGCTGTTGCTGCAACGCAGCAAGCGATGCGGGGATGATGTTGGGCACGAAAACTATCGTAACGTAAGACGAAAAGAGTACTAAACAAAGCGGTGCGTCATGATGAGGTGTTCGAGAAGAGGGTAAATTTAATATGGATATCTCATGCGGCGACCGTGGCCCACGTGTTTGTGAGAACGACTGCCTGCGAGAGACGATGTGCGCTAATCACGCTGTGTGAACACAGGGGGGATATTCCATATGGGAATTTGGCGAACAGAATCATGGTGTCGCGCCCGTTTGGGTGGTCATCTTCAGAGCCACGAGTATGCGGCTATCTGTCTGTCCCAAGCGTTTTAGAATGGGCTTTTGTGTTTCCCTGTCGTAGAGACGCGTCTTTGACTTTGATACATATGTTTCGTGTATGTCTTTGAGGGATTCGGTTCTCGTTGGTGCAGCGCCCTCTGTTTTTAACCCTCTGTTGCCGTCACGATGCCACGTCGAAGGCCGCGCGCTCCCTCACGCCGCGCTCTGGAAGCCTCCGGTCGACTGAGGGGCGACGGGGCTCAGTGGATGACCCGGGAGAAAAAGGCCGAGCAAGCCAGGGTCAACTCCGAGCTCCGGAAGAAGAGGAAAGAATCCAGGGAGGCGGGGCTTAAGGTTGGGGTTGTGCTTGAGGCGTTCGTGTGATCGCCGGCACCGACCGGAGCAACACTGGCCGGTGTAGAGAGTCGGGGGTGGGACGGTGGTGGCGGTGGAAGAGGAGGGGTTGTGGGCACAGAGCCGACATTGCCGTAGCACCCCCTCGGCAGCAGCGGCAGTCGTAGACGTTGCGAGGATTTCTTGCTCGTGCGGCGTGAGATAGGCCGGGAACCCAGCCAGACCGATTCTCAGCGGCAGTACTTGACGGAGGGATATGGTCGTGGTTGGTGTCGCTCACGTGAGGGTAAATGCCTTGTCGGGTGGGGAGCTCAAGGAGATATTGTACGGCTGCTGTTGCTGCAACGCAGCAAGCGATGCGGGGATGATGTTGGGCACGAAAACTATCGTAACGTAAGACGAAAAGAGTACTAAACAAAGCGGTGCGTCATGATGAGGTGTTCGAGAAGAGGGTAAATTTAATATGGATATCTCATGCGGCGACCGTGGCCCACGTGTTTGTGAGAACGACTGCCTGCGAGAGACGATGTGCGCTAATCACGCTGTGTGAACACAGGGGGGATATTCCATATGGGAATTTGGCGAACAGAATCATGGTGTCGCGCCCGTTTGGGTGGTCATCTTCAGAGCCACGAGTATGCGGCTATCTGTCTGTCCCAAGCGTTTTAGAATGGGCTTTTGTGTTTCCCTGTCGTAGAGACGCGTCTTTGACTTTGATACATATGTTTCGTGTATGTCTTTGAGGGATTCGGTTCTCGTTGGTGCAGCGCCCTCTGTTTTTAACCCTCTGTTGCCGTCACGATGCCACGTCGAAGGCCGCGCGCTCCCTCACGCCGCGCTCTGGAAGCCTCCGGTCGACTGAGGGGCGACGGGGCTCAGTGGATGACCCGGGAGAAAAAGGCCGAACAAGCCAGGGTCAACACCGAGCTCCGGGAGAAGAGGAAGAAATCCAGGGAGGCGGGGCTTAAGGTTGGGGTTGTGCTGGAGGCGTTCGTGTGATCGCTGGCACCGACCGGAGCAACACCGTCAGTGGAGAGGTAGGGGTGGTGACGATGGTGGTGGAAGAGGCGGGGTTGTAGGCACACTGCCGTCATTGCTATAGCACCCCCTCGGCAGCAGCGGCAGTCGTAGACGGGGCAAGGATTTCTTGCCCGTGCCGCGTGAGATAGGCCGGGAAGCCAGCCAGACCGATTCTCAGCGGCAAGACTTGACGGAGGGGTATGGTCGTGGTTGGTGTCGCTCACGTGAGGGCAGATGCCTTGTCGGGTGGAGAGCTCACGGAGCTACGGCTGCTGTTGCTGCAATGCAGTAACCGATACGGGGATGCTGTTGAAGACGAACGCTGTCTGAATGTCAACACGAAACGAGCGAAACAAAGCGGTGCGTCATGAGGTGTTCGAGAAAGAAGGTACAAATTAATACGGATATCTCATGCGGCGACCGTGGCGCACGTGTTTTGTGGGAACGACTACCTGCGAGATACGATGTGCGCTAATTACGCTGCGTAGACACACAGGGGGGATGTTCCGTATGAGAATTTAGCGAACAGAATCATGGTGTCGCGCCTGTGTGGGTGGTCGTCGTCAGAGATACGATGCGGCTATCTGTCTGTGCCAAGCGTTTTACAACGGGCTTATGAGTTTCCCTGTCGTAGAGACGCGTCTTTGACTTTGATACATACGGTTCTCGTTGGTGGAGAGGGCCCTCTATTTGTAACCCTCTTTTGCCGTCACGATGCGACGTGGGGTAGAAGGCACCCCCTGGGACGTTATTGTCGTGTGGGTTTGTATCTCCACGCGGTAGGCACTATGGGTAGTAGGTATATCGTCGGGAACTTAATGAAGACACGGCACTCGGTGTTGGAGGGCCCTACATCGAGCCAAGACATTTGTCTATCCTGTGTGTGGTAAACGTGTGTTGCGTACGTATGCGGCGGGTGTCGTGAGTCGTGAGACGTACGGATAGGGCAGGCACGAGAAGGGGGACCCTTACTTGCGCGGGGGACTTTCTGTTTTCTTTTGTATTGCGAAGGACTAATAAAAGTAGGAATAGTAGAGGCGCTGCCGTGGTTGTAATGGGACGGTACGGGTCGAATTGTATTGTGGATGCAATGTTTCTTGAGTTTAATTGTAGCGGAGAGGTCGCGAAATGTAGTGGAGGCCTACTTTGTTTTCTCGTGTTGTTACATGACATTAAAAAATAATGATATGACCGCAAACCGAATCGAACCTAATCGAATACGTGACGGTGTGCATGTGGCATACTTGGTCATGCTGGCGACGTAAACAAATCTATGGGTGCATCGATCAAGCTTTTGGCATTTCGTGTTTACAGCGAGGGACAGCGGGAACACACAAGGAGTACATAACAAAGTGCTGTTTTCATCGAGTGCCCAATCTTTTTCAAGTTTTGCCATGAACAGCCTCAGGCTTGCGCGCCCTGCTGCGTGCATACACAAAGCAGTGACTCAAAGATGGGTGTTCCACGTAGTGGCTTGTTGGAGGCCACGTTGGTAGGCCTGTCTGTCATTCTTCCGAACGAGCTTGACCTCGACACAAGGTTGGTCGTGCGTGTTGCACCACCCGCCCGGTAACATGGCCGTACTGGCGGCGACGCCAGCGAGCACCGTGCAGAGTAGAAACCCGTCGTGATGTTGGCAGTGTCACAAGCCGAGTGTGCTAAACGCACGGTTGTACCGGCCGCATTGCCAGCTGTGGTTTTGATTCATACACCGAAATCCACGACGCACACGAAACGACGAGACCGCCACTTGCTTCGAGCGCAACCCAGCCTGCTCGAAAAACACAAAAACACCGGTTCCGGTTTTTCTTGCACCGCAAAGAAACAGGGGACACACAAGTATCGCAGTCCATCGCAGACGACGACGCGACCCCAAGGTCAAACCACGCTTGGCGTAACGCAGCACGGCCGCCCGTGCGGTGAGCACGGCATAGCCGGACAGGTTTTCGCCGACCTTGCCGTTGTTGTAGTAGCCAGTCCACGGCCCGCCTGGTCTACGCGTGTAGGCCACAGCAGGAGTAGCAGACCGTCCGTGGATGACACCGACCAGATCGTACTATAACACGACCGGAGGATCTGCACAAAGTAGGCGCATTACGGACGAGTGAAATTGGGGGCGGGATAAGGCCTTGGTCGTTACTTTGCTTTGTCAATGAAATCGTATTGTTCCGTTTATCATGCGTTCCGTTGAGAACAAAAATTAACACCATCACGACACATATCTTTTCATCGTGAGATTATCACGGGTATAGCCCTGTTCGCGGCTTCTAAAGTTCAACCAAGGTCGGTTGTGCTCCACCTTTATTTCCTTCGGTTCCTGGGGAGGCCCTGTTATGTTCTCCTATCCTCTACCCGGACATACATTTATATTCACAATCACACAACTTTGCTAGTAGGTCCAGCTACAAGTACGTCGAATACGTTTGCCATTCGGACACCATTGGATGTTCTCGTTGTGTCTTTTGCCACAGCCGACCGCAAAAGAGCGCCGCTACCGCTGCTGACCACCTCGGAATCGCAATCAAAACTTCACATGAGACAAGACAGTTCTCACTAAAGTTGACTGAAAACGTCGCTCGAAAGCAAGGACACGCAGCCGTATAACATTCAGCCTAGGGAAAGCAAGCCTTCATTATCGAACTATGTAGCACCGGGATAGGCTGCACGGCAACCAAATGCATGATGATCGCCAAGAAGACATTGGACTATGAATCACTCGGCAAGGGCATCAACCAGTATATTCCTTGTGCTTTGTGTTCCGCGCTGCTTCCCAACTGTGCTACTCCCCCTCGATGTCGAATTTACAATTGGCCTTAGCGACGTGCGTCTTCCGACACCTGCCTACAGAGGAAGAAATCACCGAGCGGCGGCTCGGAACCACATCTATCGGTGACTTGTATGGTCCCTAACCATCACCGGACCGAGGTCTAAGTATGTCCTACGCGCTGTCTCGTATTGAGCCTCAAAGGTGTTGTGAATTGCTTGTGATTGCCCTCCATTGTGACGAGAAAGCACCACGTTCTTTTCTTCAAGACGCACAACTTGCTCCTTCACAGACCGGAAGTCGACCAACTGGTCCTTTCCTCGATCACAGCAGCAGTGTGTAACATAAAAAATCGTTCGCTTGCTGCTAGGCTTTGTGGCGTGGTGCCGTCGTTTTTTACTACGGGTAGCGCAATGTGCAGAGGTGTTGATTGCCGCTTCGTCCAGCACTGCTTGTGTTCAATATTGCTTGATTTTCTTTCGTGGCTTCGGTCTCAGCAACGCTTTTGGCGTTATCCCTCGGAATGTCCGCGTACCATGCGGGTTCGCGTCCTGTACCGAGGAGCCCCCATTCAGAATTCAACGAGAGGGTTCCTCTACGGCACTTGCCTTCACACCGAAAACGCGAGGAGGGTCCGATAGTTCCTTCCCTCAGGTGCGAATCCAACAAGTCCGCGGTACAATCATGGGAAGATATCGAATAACCTCTTTGCCTGTCTGTACTACTACTAGTACGGTGTACTACTGAAACCAATTCAGTACATTTGGGCTCACCGCTTGTCTCGATGAACACGGCCATGTCCAGACTGGACGGGATCGTCGACGTGCTGCGGGGTGAGAGGCAAAATAGACAGGGAAAAACGGGCCACTCCCCGATGGAAATTGCATAACCTCGCCAAGCTACGGCGTCATGGAGATTCATCCACGGCATGCAGGAAGTACTATCGTCGCATTTTACGCGAACTTCTTCTTCGGCATGAGAACACAAAAAGGCTTCGCCTAAATACTGTCAATTTCTCCGCAATAGACGTTCCATAGACGACGAGCGCACCTACTTGTAGTTAGATTGCTCGAGATTCTATGAATAGGCCGAAGAACGATGACAGCGGTCCCATTCCATGATTTGGTCAGGCAAGATCGGGACACACATGATTTTCTTTGGTGTCTCGCTCTAGGGAGATGGGGCTTTTGGTGCCCGTATTCGAGGATGCAAGCGAGGAGAAGTACTGTACGCCGCCGGAACTAGCGATCACGCCTACGTGCGCAAGGGACACATGTCAAATGCAGCGCAGACCTCGGATCCCTTCACGCACGTTGGATTAACCAAGGGATCCAAGCGCACACCTGTCGCCCTAAAGCACGCACCCGTTGTCGGAGGCTCGGGCGACGCAATCTCTCTAAGTATATCTCTAGCGCGAGACACAGGGTCTGTGTGTGTCCCGAGCTTGATGAAAACAATCAAGGAACCACAACGCCGTAGTTACTTCGGTCTCCTCATAGAATCTCGAGCAAGTTACCAAATCCTTTCTGTAACGACTGATATGCTCTCTCTCGGCTTGTTTAGTGGGCGGCGTCAGCATTGTTGACATGCTTTTTGAAGCATCGCTCCGCAGCTTTCCTCAGGTGCGGCGACTACCATCGATGGCAAGAAACCAAACCCGCCCCCACGCTCGGTACACATACACTGTCATAAAAACACACACATACACATACACACCACACGTCACCGGCGCCTCGTCACGACCCTCACGGGCGGCAAGCTAAGAGCACATAGGTAGCACCATCTATCACACAGCCTACATCCAACAGACAGTGCCTTCGACCCTTCGACGGCGGTGGTGTCTCCTCTCACGAAATCACAAATATTTCTTTAGACAACGGGTGGCTACAACCTGGATTTACTCCTACACAGGTCGCCAGAGGGGAGGTTGTGGGTAGGTTGTGAGCATCCCCGAGGTAGGGGCAGGTTGTAGAGGGGGTTGGGAGGAGGCCTCAACCTTGGCCAGACGCCTTGGTTTCACAAGGACGGATGCCGAAGCTTGGGAGGCAGCCACAACGTCAGGCCACACCTCTTGGTTGTGCAAGCACAGATCACACAGTTTGGGAGGCACCCACAAAACCTTAGGCCAGACCTCCTGGTTGTGAAAGCACCGATGAAACAGGTTGGGAGGCAGTCACAACCGAAGGCCAGACCTCCTGGCGGTAGATTGTGTCGGTTCGACGGTCCGGGATAACAGGACTTCAGTGTAGACTACACTTGAATTTATATATTTCTCCGGCTACAACACGCAACCAAATTCGTCTCCAACAGAGATATGTAGATATAAGACCCCAGGATACGCTGACACAAAAATGCATACCAAATGAATGCATACACGATTCAATTTGGGCTTTTGTGTGAGTGGGTGCGGTGATTCACGAGTGCGAGTGCCATGTGTGTACTAGTTACATGGTGCAGGGTACAACAAGCTCTCAGCTCCCGTTATGGATCCCGCCAGACAGATGGGAAGAGGGGGTGGGGGGCATCCGAACCAGCGAGCCCCCTATATGCATAACGCTGGCTTCGAAAGGCGTATACACGCCAGCGCTGGCGAGATTCTTGCACTCGCCAGTTCAACAATTTTTGGGTTGTGGTTGGAGGTAGACACGAAACCAAAGCCACAGCGGGTTTCCAGCCCTCAGGCAGCACCAAGGCGCTAGGCCTCACGAGGCCTAACCCACCCCTTAACCCTAACCCTAACCCAAATCCAAACCCAACACCCCAAGCTAGGTTGTTATGCAGTGGGTAGGCCTAGGTCGCTGTACCGAGGTACTGGAGCGTGCAAGAACCTCGTCAGCGCTGGTGTGTATACGCCTCGTCTGCATGGCTTTGTTTGGCCATGCATTGCCCTCGTGTGACGAGCTACTGTAGCGAATCCTTGACACAGGCGACCAGAGGCCGCAGCATGCCAAGACGAATAGCGACCAGGCTGGTGTCATTCCTTTCGCAATCAAGGCAAAAAACTATTTTATTACATTTTTCCGTCATTTTTATTATTGTTTTCCACCAAGTCTGGAAGGTAACTCACTGGCAAATAACGAGGGGGCGACACCGACCGCCTCCCTCTCTCATCCAGCGTCCAAGCTTCCCTTCCATGTCAACTGGCCGGGTCTAACACAATGCCGTCTCAGTATATCGAAACCCTCAATGGTACTCTACCATCGACATCCACTAGTCAGACCCTCATACCCCAGTTCTTCGTGGAATAAGAACAATAATAAATCGTAATGTCCACAAATACCCTCCCGGTACTCGTACCCCTCGGTTATCGCCCCCCCCCCCCCTGTTTCGGAAAAAAATCGAGGGTGGCGTGGGTGGGAAAGACGACAACACTAGCTCCCGGAAGCAGAATGTCCTAACAGGTAGCAGCTGGCCATGTTGTCCACTCGTACGTCTAGTAATCCCTGTGCTCCTCCTAGCACTGCTGATGCTTCAACGTGATCGGGCGCAATAGGAATGTCCTGCGAGCAGCTGCCTTATCTCAGCACGCAGGCCTCCTCTCCTACAAGCACGCACACATCCTCTTCGCCATACATATAAATGCCCACTTCTATCAACTCCAATAAAACGCAATTTCAGACTCCTCCCCCCTTTTTGGTAGGATCCATCTGAAATTCTCGCTTTATTGACTTTTTCCGAAGTGTCATTTTTATTATTTTTTTCCACCAGGTCTGGAAGGTAACTCACTGGCAAATAACGAGGGGGCGACACCCATCGCCTCCCTCTCCCATCCAGCGTCCAAGCTTCCCTTCCATGTCAACTGGCCGGGCCTAACACAATGCCGTCTCAGTATACCGAGACCCTCAATAGAACTCTACCATCGATATCCACCAACCTCGACGTTTAGTGGGGCGACATTTTGTCTCCCTTGCCTGTACCATCGTGTAAGCTAGCCCTTTTCTGCTCCATCTTTCTCCCCTTTGGTAGTTTTCGTGATACGATGTCTACGTCCACCATATTGTTCCGAGTATATACCGAAAACGTACTCGAGCCTTCCTTCCATTTACCCGCTCTGTATAATTCTACCCGGTACGCTCCCCCCGCTCCCAGCGTGGTTGCGGCCCCAATTCTCAACGAACGAAAGCCAACCTGCCTCTGGTCGTCACTTGCCTTCTCTACAGTCTGGCGAAGGGCTCGAAGCGCCTTGGAATATCCACACACCTTAACCATATATATTGCTCCTACCACACACAGCGAAACGAGCACAGAGAGCCGTCCTCAGGCAACGAGAGATGGTACGCCATCAATTCCACCAACACCGCCACGGCACCGCCACCGGCACCGATCTGAGAACGCGCCCCTCGTGCGACATCGCGTACCCGTGTAACGTACGCCCCCTTTTCCCACTGATCTCCCTTGTGGCCGCGAAGCCGAACCCGAACACCCGTGGCCGTGTGACAGTGCAACGGGGATAGCACCTGCTCCCTAACGAAGAACTCAACTCGCTTGGACATGGGCACGTGCGACATCCAACATATTTCGTTTGATGAGAGGCACCCCATTCCGCCACTCCACCTGCTGTTCGACTCGATGAAAGTACTGTAGTACGGCGGCAAGCCTGCCGAAAAATTGTCGGTACAATGTTACCCTGATCTGCACAGCACCACGTCTGCATTACCCCAAGACGTGTGATCGTGAGAGTGCTCCAACACGGCGGTTCTGACGCGAATTTGTTAGTCGAGTTACGCCACCCACACGCCAAGCGCCGATCTACCAGAGGCCGCAGCATGCCAAGACGAATAGCGACCAGGCTGGTGTCATTCCTTTCGTAAGGAGGATTCTATTTACGTCATCGGTGGCGTTTTTCCTTACATACGTCACCGCCCGTATTTCAGCCCACAGAGCTTTAATTGGCACAAAATAAATTGCGTTGTGTAGCTATGACCCACACCAATCATACGAGCCTTTCGACGGTCGAATCCGATGAGTGGTTGCGGAGATTTGCTCAAAAGGGGGCTCAGCAGTATNGGAGGATTCTATTTACGTCATCGGTGGCGTTTTTCCTTACATACGTCACCGCCCGTATTTCAGCCCACAGAGCTTTAATTGGCACAAAATAAATTGCGTTGTGTAGCTATGACCCACACCAATCATACGAGCCTTTCGACGGTCGAATCCGATGAGTGGTTGCGGAGATTTGCTCAAAAGGGGGCTCAGCAGTATGATACTGCATCTACCACAAATAAATCCGACTGTAACTTCGCTCAGAGAGCTCCGATCGACACCAATAGCTTAAGTGATGGCTGTGAATCGTGGAAACACAACGNGTCGGACGACAGATGGGCCGCTTCTACGATATCCTCCAGAGAGACGCGTCCGGTGTTGTAGGCCCGCTCCAGTTCCGCCGGATCTGCTGTGGCGATGTTGTCCAGCAAATCATCGACGGTGAACACCATGGACATGGGGGGGCTCTCGTCTTCTGCACTCGCCGCTGGAAATTGCTCTGCGGTGGGAGCCTGGCCCTCGGGTTCATAGTCGAGGATTTCCACATCGTCGCCCAGGAGTTCCACGTTGCCGGTGGACATGGTGTCCTCTTTGTTAACAAGAACAGGGCCAGAGAGAGGGTAGCTACGATCGATTTTGGAAAGGGCAGCAGGGCCAGAAACAGTAGATGTAGGATAACCAACCGCAGTTGAGGCAGCAGCACCAAGAGCAGCAGAAGCAGTAAAGCCAGGTGGAACTTCAGGAAGAGCAAGCCGAGGTCCATGCGAAAGGCGGAGATATCCACAAGATAGCATACGCCCAGTGATAAAAGCTTGGTGCACACGAGGTTGAAGCGGATCCAACCAAGCAGAAAAAGCGTCCAAAAGCACACCATGCCACGCACAAACAGCAGTAGAAG